AGAATCGCACCGGCGGTCTAATGTCTCTCTTTTTACTAGTATTTTTTCACCGTTCTAAGCCACGTGTCATTTATTCGTCCTCTCTAAACTATATGACAATAATAATAATAATAATAATAATAATAATAATAATAATATAATAAAAATAAATATAATAATAATGAATATCGATCGTGTATATATAGTTCACATGAAAATAATATTGTAATAGATTAAAATTGTAATTATATAAATTAATCGTGAGAATTTATTGAGCTTTCGGACATTTATGGTTTATAAATTCAATCAAATTTATTTGGACAGATATGAATTCCCTCTTTCTTTGCCACTCCCGTGGCCTAGTGAAACCCGACGCTCTCTCGTACTTTAGGATTAAGCTACTGGTCTACTGGGTGATGTTACATTATTACGCAGACGTGCACAAGACGCGGCGAGACCTCCCGAAGGGACGGGGCAAACTGCATTTCGTATTTATGCCGATCAATATGAGGGATATAAACGAGAGTAAGTAGTAGAAGGGTAAAGAGTCGGGGAGACCTCAGACTTTCCAATTCGGCCAATTACGCCGTATAATGGCGTACCCTCCCGTTCCTATCTTTTGATTGTTCCCACTGATTTTCTACTGTGTCTTCGCTCGTTGTTTGCTTCCCCTGCTGATAATTCCGCCTGGCTCTTTCCCCTCTGCAAACTCACTGCATAATATAAACGTTTCCCAAACACATTTATCAATTAAGAGAATCTTCGCTGTAGACGTTAATTAAAATTAATTGGGCGCAAATTGATCGTTTATTCGTTTCTGTTTATTCGAGATCCCGTGTGTCTAAGTCTCGCGTTAATAACGTTCTATACGCGTTATAAAGCTAATTTATTAATAATTACCTCATATTAAAGTAATGCTAAGAGCCTTTTTTTTTATCCCAAACAGATCCCGCAAGTCGATCTGTAGTCGACCTGCGGGTCGATCATCGAGGACGAAGAAGGACGATTATCCTTTGTCTGTTTTTTTAGCCTCGAATGAAAGATCGGCGTGCTGCTGTTTGCTTCGATTCTATGCGCCTGTGAGTGATCGATGTCACTTATGGTCACTGTCGCGGACGTCATCGTCGGTGACCCGACGACTGTCGACCACGAGAAATGCAAGCCGGCAAGTAGACGCCGATAAGTCGCGTGCGAAGCGCCGTTTCATTTTTCATTCACTTTCCTACGATCGATATACCTACGTCGCTCTTCGTACCTACTCCACTGTCCGATCGCGAGACGAACTACAGATTTACGCATATATTGTCAATATAAGCATACAGGCAAAGCGCAATGGATGGGTTCGTTATTATCGTATAAGAGTCGCTTAGAGTCTTGAGCTATTATTACGCTAATGAGTATTATTACGCTAACGTTATTTATAATCATTGTTCTTTGCCAAGCGATAAGCTTGCGATTATTATACGATAATTTTAGCATTTGCTTTTGATAAATGTGTAAAGCAAAGAGAGCACGCTTTTTTCCGATATGACTTTTTTATCTTAACTTTTTTCAAGACTGGCATGCCTGTGATGATCAGAAAAACTGTATTCATATATCGCTATTGCATATAACGAATGTTCTCATGAAATGAGAATCTCATTTTTGAAGCTATCAATCATTAACAGTTGAAAATGGAGTTTTCGCGTTCTAATTTCTCGTCCGCGAAATGTGCGATGTCATCTTCGACTTCTGGTCTTTCGAATACGACTTTCCGATTTCAATTCTCATCGTTGAACTAAAAAAATAATATATATATATATATATATATATATATATATATATATAAAAAAGTCAATATTTAAAATCGTTTTTACTTTTTATATTAAAGATCAGCCAAGGAAATCTTAATTCCATTAGGCAAAATTGTACAATAATTTGATAGCTATAACGTCGAGGCCGTGAATTATTATCACGATGTTAATAACTCTTCTAGATAGGCCGCGCAAGTGTTTCGTAAAATAAGGGGGTTTGTTGTGTGTAATAATTTTGATAAAAATTATGGTTCGGCGACTCGAAACGCAGAGTACTAAAGCACTTTGTACATTCGTCGAGCGTGTTTCTCACTTTCGGTTAATTATCGGCAGATGAATCGCACTGAAAGCTTAACACTGTGGCATTAAGACCCGTTCCTCCGCGGTTCGTGCTCTTTCACAATATGTTGGACGATTATTTTTGGCGTGCCAGGACCGTACACGCGTCAATCCATTTGATGGATAGGCTGGAAGAGAGGACGAGAAAAAGAGTACCGGCAACTTGAATGTGGCCCGACATAGCCGAGCCACCTTTTCGCGTGCGACGCAGCCGAAGAAATAATCCGCGCGATCTAATATTTAATTTTTTATTTTGTGTCAATCACGTCGTAATTAACTCCCACTCCGATGCGATGTCCGATAATTATTAATATTACCATAATTTAATATGCTTTTATTATGGGCAGATATTTTTTTTTTACTATCCGATCTGATTTTGTTCCTGCTATTTGCCTGCTTATTTGTATCGTATTGGATATATCGCGTTTGAACGAAACTGTACGGTCGGCGTGCAGCGCGGGATCATCTTCGGCTTTATTAATATGACAGAACGAGAAACAATTGGCTCGCGACGCGTATACCTCCGTAATCGCTCTTACGGACGACGCGTAATAATATAATAGTGCCAACTTTATGGTGCACCAGATGCTGCCTGGTCATTTCAAGATGTTGGCTCCAACATCTGCCATTCGCCGACAGTCGGTTTTCGATGCCGTTTAAATCGTTCGAACGTACGGAGATCAAGGTAAAGGTTAATTACTTCGTTCTCCGTCGACGGCTTCTACGATCTTGCCTTACAAAAACTTGTATGAATTAAACGAAATAGGCAGAAATTTATTTTACTGAGATACAAGTAACCTAAACTTTTCGCGATAACATTCGTCGAAAGAACTTTTTTCTTATTTTTTTTTCCAGTTGTTCCCTCTTTTACCCGACGAAATGAGAATTAACTTAAACGAGAATTAAAAACACATGGCATGTAATTTTGTTTTATGAAACGATCATCGTTTATCGTTGTTTCTACGCTTTGTCACAAACCTGTGCTTTTAAAGATTAAGAATTCAGTTTCGCGGAGTAATTTCCGCCTATTCTTCTAAATCCATTAATTTTTTTGTCAAGGCAGAGCGGTAATGACGTTGTATAACGGTCAAACAGTTCTTCCCCCCCAAGTTATTTCTTATGTTTCGCTATTATTATCCGCAGGCCAATTGGAGAGATTATTTGTCGAGCCTTGTGCATCTCTAACCTCAAGGTCCCTCGCGATATCCGCGAGTCTAAAGAAGCGTTTAGCACCGCGCGATTTCGCTCGTTAGCACATGTCGCTCGATCCTCCTCGAGGTACTCATCCGCGAAAATTTTTCTAACGGTGACAGAGTAGAAGAGACCATTTTCGAGGAGAGATCCTTTTTCCGATTGTATTAACAAGAATTTCCTAAGTAATAGCAAAAGACAAGCTCAATTTATCCTATTATCCCAATTCTTCCACGACTCACGAGATAGTCTGAGATTTACTTCGTCAAAAAGTTGCTCGCGGAACAATAAACTTGTCAACGGTTGAACGTAAAGCGTTCCAGTTTCAACGGATAACTTAGATAAATCCTAATGCTTATTCACACGACGAGGTGAACTTGCGCACTTGGAAGATATGAATTTTAAATACGTGATAAGAGAATATCGCGAGATATTTGTTGAAATAAATCCGCTGTTTTAATCGCGTAAAGATGTAAAATAATTCGATTGACGTTTTCATTAATGTTATTCGATCGGTTTGCGATTTTCGTCGGGACGATTCTCCTATATCTTCGGTTAAAGATTCGGACTGTCGAGGTCGATCGCTCGTGGCCTGGCGTGGCCTCCAAGCGAGTACCGCTTTTCTGGCAACTCGCCAAAACTTATGCCAGGTTTCAACATACCGGCCGACATGAGTATTTTCGGTTTCGCGGCGAAACGACGACGGCCTGTCTCTCTTTCTCG